GGGACCCGAGGAGCCCCTCGTGCCAGGGCCATGCCAGCCAACTCTTGGCACGGCCAGGAGGGAGCAGGGGCCAAGAGGAGGAGCGGGAAGGTGCTGGGCACCAATGGGCATGGTGCCCCTGCAGTGTCTGTGTGCTCTGGAATCTTTTGTCTGATTATTTGCAACCCTAAATAATTCATTTCTATCAATAGATGTGATTTACCATCCTTAAAACCTTGGGGACAAAAGAGGTTCAGTCCCACCTCTGTAATTCCTCTAAACTGAAACTGTTGGCATAACCCAAGGTTGAGATCGGATCCAGCAGCCCCAGCACCCTGTCACGGTCGAGGCGGGGAGGCGACATGGGTTTCAGGATACCAGCAGCTTTTTTATTGCAACAGTACAGCTACCTTTATACAGTTCTGGGGTGACACATGTACACACAGCATTGGTTTAGCACTTCATAACAACTCATGATTGGACATACAGCCACATGTCCTAACACAATAGGCTGACATTCCTCACAGGAAACCCACTGTGTCACAGTCCTACTGTCCGTGGTTAACCCTCTGCCAGGTATAAGAAGTTCCATCTTCAGTATCTCAGTTTACTGAGAGCCCAGAACCAGCTGGGCTCCCCCACAATTCCCCCTCTTTTGTATTATAGAAAATGCCAGCATCAGCTAATACAGGGCCCTTGCACTAGTGACATGGCAATATTAATAATACAATACAATTACACACATAGGCAAAGAATCAACCAGTCCTTCTTTCATCAGTCCACAAGAATGGTACTCCTTCTTCTCAGTGCTGAATGTCCATAAATGAGTTGTCCATGTAGCTTGTGCGTGTACAACAGGCAGGTAGAAAGTAGACTGTTGGAGGATAAGAACATTGCTCCTCAAAAGCTAGCTGAACAGACAAGTATCCTCCCCCCCCCTTTTTTTTTTCCATTTTTTTCTTTTTTCTATTTTTTCTATTTCTTTTTTTTCTATTTTTTCTTTTTCATATTATAATTGGTAGGTTTTGACTTCTTAAAGTCTTTCAGTGCTTCAAAAAGCAGGTGTCAGGAAGTTAATAATTCCATGACTCCCCTGAAAGCAACTTTAGAAGTCCTGGTATCCATGATCTCTGCTCCAAATTAGCATTGTTGCAGGAGCAGGGCATCTAGCTTTGTTCCATGTTTCTCTTTAGCAGTAACTGCCACTTGGGACGACAGAGTCATCCTCTTTAGATAACATGGAACTTATTATATTCCGGTGGTTCACCGGTTCTAGACAGGTGTCTCCAAAAGATCTGGGCCGGCCCCCTGCGACTTTTTTGTCGCTTTTAAAACTACACCGGAGTTCCCGCCTCCAACAGCTCTCTCGGAGCTGTCTCTCTCCGTCCTTGTTCAGGACGTGAAAACCTTTTAGATTGCTTCAGGAGGTACTAATGTAAGTTACAAGCAGAGTAATAATAAAAGCGAAGACGAACTGTGGCTGGAATGTTGCTTTAGGCAGCCGACTGCTGATAAAAGGCAGTTGCCGGGATACCAAGATTTCGCAAGAGTCCGAGCCAAGCGGAGGAGGTGGCACACAGCAGTTTGCCTGCCCCACAGCTGCGAGAGTAACGAAGGCAGGGTCGCTCAGAACAAACAGCACTGCTGAGTCAGGGCACGTTCGGGGTGCGGTCTCAGCTGCTCCACGCACAGTCAGGGACGTCCGGTGATAGCAGAGGGACGCGAACCGGGCACGGAGCGGGCTGAGGCGCTGCACGGAGCTGGGATGTCAGGAGAGGGGCTACGCAGGTTGTGTACGCAGCCACACAGTGTCTGTAGGGCTGCAGCTGGAACGCGGAGCGAGATAACGAATACTCCAGGGGGGGAGCGGGGCAGCCCTGCGGGAAGGCTGGGAGCGGAGCGAGATTACGAATGCTCCGAGGTAGAACGGGGCAGCGCGGCAGGAGGGTTGATAATGGACCGCTCAGTAACTTACATAGCCGTGAAAAAGTTTCAGCAGCAGCAAGAAAGTTCTCAGTAGTAGCGATAGGCAGCTCAGCAGCCTGCGATCTCTCAGGCTGAGAAGCGGTGAAACGAAACGGGGGAATCAGCGGCCGTCTGATCCCTCCGGGTAGCAGCTTCTCGAGGTCCCGCCCGAGCGATTCTTCGTTCGCTTCTTGTCGTCAAGTTCTCTTCTATCTTCCTTCGCAATCACGTCGGGAGTTCACCATATGTCGCGGTTGAGGCGGGGAGGCGACATGGGTTTCAGGATACCAGCAGCTTTTTTATTGCAACAGTGCAGCTACCTTTATACAGTTCTGGGGTGACACATGTACACACAGCATTGGTTTAGCACTTCATAACAACTCATGATTGGACATACAGCCACATGTCCTAACACAATAGGCTGACATTCCTCACAGGAAACCCACTGTGTCACTGTCCTACTGTATGTTGTTAACCCTCTGCCAGGCGTAAGAAGTTCCATCTTCAGTATCTCAGTTTACTGAGAGCCCAGAACCAGCTGGGCTCCCCAACAGCACCCCACAGTAAGGTGGGAGCTCAGGGAGGCCACCCCCCTTTCCCAACTCCCCTCTACCCAAAGACCCCCATGGGACCGTCTGATCCACCAGACCACCCCCCCTTTTCCATCCTTCTCCCTGTTCCTCCCACTTTTCCATGGTCCCCTGTTATAATCTGCTTAAATATTGCAGAAAGAACTTCAGATTCGAATATTCCCTTAACAAAATCAAAACTCACACAAGTTATTAGTTGATACCAAAAACTGATCTTATTGATTGCTAAGAGGTGCAAAGAGAAAGGAAAAAATAAGAAAAGGTTGAAAATGCTAAGATTATTTCTAGAAGCAGAGAAAAGATACCACTGAAAAGTAGTTTTACCCGCTGAGCTGGTGTGTGGGGCAGGGGAGAAGCAGTTTCTGTCCCTTTTTTTTCTCTGTCTCTGCAGCTTTTGGATGTTGTCTCTGTAGCTGCAGGGGGTCTGACAGCTTTAGTTCTCTGCAATGCACCATGTGTGGTTTCACCGCTCACGCCCCTGGCCCAGGCCCTGCAGGGTCTCAGCTCAGCCAAAGCTTTGGGCCCTCAGAAATATGGTCAGGGTAGAAGGATAAGGTAGAAGTCCCACATGTGGCACGGTGGTCTCAGCTCTCTCCAGGCCGGCACAGTTCCAGTCTCCGGTGGCAGGCAGGCAGCACGCGGTGGCGGAGAAAAGGTGAGGGGAGGTGGGCAGAGATTCTCGGCTACAGTCACCAGTTCTTCTCCCTTTCCTCTCCCTGATTTTCCAAAATTTGCCCTCAACTTTTATAGTGTTCACAGAAGGTTGAACGTGGTTTCTTGGCACGTAGCCAGTTCAGATGTTGGAGGAGATATGATAACCATAAACAATAACAGGATCTTTTGGCAGGAAAAGTCTTGTGGGAAGTTCTGGTGGGAACTTCTGTCAGAGAGCTGACAGAGAATGTTTGATAGGAAGATTTTGATGGTCAGAAACAATAGAGAAACATAATCTTTGGCATTACAGATGGTTTCCGTGGTAACCAATATAACAACTGGAATGCATAATGGTTACCATGGTAACTGACCCTAGAGATGGAAATATATGATGGTTGCCATGGTAACTGATGTAACAATTAGAGTGCATAATGGTTGCCATGGTAACCGAGGTAAAAATAGGAATGTGTAACAGTTGCCATGGTAACCGCGGTAAAAATGAGAATGCAAAATAGTTGCCATGGTAACCGACATCACAATGAGACTTCATAATGGTTGCCATGGTAACCGACCGTAACAATGAGAATGCAAAATGGTTGTAATGGTAACCAACAAAACAAAGGGAATGCACAATGGTTGCCGTGGCAGCAACATAACAATGAGAATGCACAATGGTTTCCATGATAACCGACTGGAACAATGAGAATGGACAATGGTTGCCATGGTAACCAATGTAACAATGAGAATGCAAAATAGTTGCCATGGTAACCGACGTCACAATGAGACTGCATAGTGGTTGCCATGATGACCGTTTGTAACAATGAGATTGCATAATGGTTGCCAGGGTAACCAAGGTAACAATGGGAATGCATAGTGGTTGCCATGGTAGATGACGTCCCAACTAGACTGCATAATGGTTGCCATGGTAACCGATGTCACAATGGGAATAGTTAATGGTTGCCATGGTAACCTACGTAACAATGGGAAAGCAGAATGTCAGGGGGAGCTCTGTTCCAGCCAGGCTCTGAGGCTGTGGGTGAGGCAGTGGCCTGTGCTGGGCGTCAGGATGGGGGCTGACTGTTCCCAAAGCCCTCCCTGCCAGGGTGGGGCCTGGTGGCTGCCTGACCAGCTGCCCAGGCACGGAACTTCTTATCAGATGGAAACTGTGTCTTTCCTCCAGGCCCGAAAAATGCAGGTCCTCTTGCCAGACTTGGTGAACCCCCTGTGGCACAACAATTCACCTCTTGCAATGAAGGCCCTGGGGGTCCTCAGAAATGTGCTGGGGCACCTGGAGAGGGGAGGAGGGCAGTGCCATCGCCATGCAGGAACAGGTTGCAAGGCTGAGCATGGACCCAAAAAGGTGTGGGGGGGGCTGACACCCCATGGGGGTTCTGGGCATCGTGGGCAACCCTCCCCCCCTGCAGCCTGTGGGGAGGGTCCCTGCAAAACCCTGCACGAGCAGGGGCAGAGACGCTGCCACGGCCCTTCCCAGCACCTGCCCTACCTGCTCCAGCAGGGCTGGGCAGCAGCCCACGGCCACCGAGGTCTGAACACACGTGTCCCCACAGGTGTTGGAGGGCTTTGAGCCTCAATCCCTGTCCCCCAGGGCTGTCCCCAGACAGAGAACCCCAGATGCTTTTGCGGGGCGTGTCCCAGCTTCCTAAGGGCAGGATCACTGCAGGTCCCCTTGCCCAGGTCCTGGTGCCACCTCCCAGCTTCTGCTGTTCTGCAGGTCTCCAGGGAAGCTCTCCTGGCCTCAGCAAAGCTCCTCAAGTGGAAGGAGCTCAAGCACCTGGTGGAGACGTTGCAACCATGGAGGATCAGCGAGTGCTTGGTGAGGACAAGCCCCAGGGCCCAGGCTGGGCCGTGGGCTCTCCCTGCCCCGTGCCTGGGCCGGGGCTCTCCCCTGCCCTTCTGCAGCGCACACCCCACAGCCTGGAGCTGCAGCCTTGTTGCTGACCTCGAGCATAGAGCCCCAGGGGCTCTTCTGCAGGCTCATCTGCCTTCCCTGCCCCCACTGGGAGGGAGGACTGGAAGGGACACTGAGGGGCTTTGTCGACAACAACAAACTGGGAGGAGCTGTTGGCTCCCTGGAAGGCAGGGGGTCCCTGCAGAGAGACCTCGACAGATCAGAGGACTTGGCAACCACCGACCACATGAAGCCTGACAAAGACAAGCGCTGGATTCTGCACCTGGATGTACAGACATGCTGTGGAATGAGACATTGGAGAGCAGCCCCGTGGAAAATGACCTTGGGGTCCTGGTCAGTGGCCAGGTTGACACGAGTCAGCAGTGCCCTGGCAGCCAGGAAGGCCAACCCTGTCCTGGGGGGCATCAGGCCCAGCAGGGCCAGGGAGGGGATTGTCCCGCTCTGCTCTGCACTGGGGTGGCCTCTCTTTGAGTCCTGGGGGCACTTCTGGGTGACATAAGAAGAGAGACATTAGAGAGCGTCCCAAGGAGGGCCATGGGAACAGTGAAGGGCCTGGAGGGGTGTTTTTCCAGGGGATGAGGGTTGGCACAAGACACACAGACACCAATTTTAAGGAACAAGGGTGTAATTTTACTACTGTGCAAAACAGTGAAGAATTAAAAAGGGATCATCTTTAACAAAACTACAAAAACTCTTAGGCAAATTCATTATTATTCAAATTCACCTGAAAAAAACTCCTTAACAGACCTTTTAAAACTACGAAAAACCTTTAAATTAAAATTGCCTCTGAGAATTCAAACCAAAGAAATTCGGCTTTTGCGGTTGTTGTAGTTTAGGAATGGCATTCCCCAGTTTGGTGTTCACCAGTTTACTGTTCCCACTGGAACACCCCAGACCACGTGCTGCTCACCCACTCCCTTCCCCTGCCCTCCCTCTGGGGAGGGACTGAGAGGAGAACTTGGAGGGACAAAAGGGAAAGATTCCAGCTTGGGATAAGAACAGTTCCCTGGGAACAGCGATGCAGTCAGAAAACGAGCAGTGACAGCAGCAACACCAACAGCAGAGTGTCCAGGACAGGCAAAGGGGTCACTCTGCTCGCTCCCCACATGGAACCGGCACCACTGGAAGTCTCTGCGTGCACTGGGCAGACGAGGGGTGAGCACACACGTGGTGCTGGTGTGGGGAGATGAACCTGAGTGGGCACAAGCACCCACAGCTCCCTGGGGAAGGGGGGGGCACGAGAGGCTGTGGGACAAACAGTGCCTTGGGCTCACCAACAGGAACATTTCCTGGGAAAATCCCCCCAGGGTGCAGCCCTGGGATGTGCTTCTGTGCACAGAGCTCCCCGTGCCCACCCCTCAGGCCTCGGGGGGGGCATCTCAGGCAGGGGCAGAGCAGGTGACACCCTGTAGGGCTGGGATGGCTCCAGCCTGTGGAACGGAGGACTCGTGACACAGAGGGAAACCACCCCAAAAAGCTGAGCTGGAGCCGTGATCCTGCAGGGAGAAATCTCTTCTGGCTGTCGCCTAAACAGGCCCAGGGGCCTGGCTGCTCTTACCATGAGACCTCTCCTGACTGTCTCAGAAAAGACAAAGCAATCGGGGGGTTTCCAAGTCCTCAGAAAAGGAAAATGCCCAATCTGGCTTCAGGAGGGGGAATTAGGGACTGGACAGCTCCCCCTCAGTCCTTGGGAAGGTGACAGGACAAGCCCTCCCACAGTCGTCCCCAGGCGCTTGAGGGCAAAGAAAAATGCAGTAGAAAGTGTTTTTTGGGAGGGGAAAGGAGGGAATGAGGCACCCTTGGACTTTGGGAAGGCCTTAGCCCTGGGCCTCCCATCATCTCCCAGCCAGACTGAAGTAGGGGATGATGATGAAAGGACGGAAGTTTGGCTGGATGACCAGGCCCAGGAGTCACCGGTGGGTCTGGAGCTGTCCTGGCAGCCCCTCAGTCACTGTTGTCATCCCTCTGTGCCCAGCACTGGGACATTACTGGGATGCCCATGAGCAATTGTCTCTGCCCGTTGACCACAGACCTTCCCTTGGTGAGGGAAGGAAAACCACTCAGGTTCCCGGTGGCCTTTGAAGCCCACAGGAAGGTTTGCTTAGGTGAGTCTCTCGTTCCACTGCAGGCATTGCTGCTCAGCCCCAGGGCTGCCTGGCAGCTCCCCCCCAAAAACAGCCCTGAGCATTTCCTTTGCTTCATCTTATCTTTCTTTTCTTCTTCTCTGCTCCCAACTTCCTGCCATTGACCATCTCTGTATGCCCTTCCCTACCTGGTACCACAGGAACACCACCTTGGGGCCAAGCTCATCCAAGGAGTGTCTCATTAACAGTCTGTTAAGGCTGTTCCCTTCCTTGCCAGAGGCACCAAGTGCCCTTCAAGAACCCTAAGTCCCCCTCAGCACCTTGGGGTGCCCCCCAAGTTTCCCCCCCCCAGCCTCCCTGTCCCCCTCCCCGTTGCTTAATTTTTGTCAATAATTTCACCTTCCCCCACCCAAAACCCGCCTAGTCTTTTTTTGGGGGGTGGGGATCCCTGGGACAGCCAATCACAGCAAAGGGGCAGGGCTTTGGGGGCGGGGCTGGCCACACCCTGCAGGTAAGAACTCCTCTGACCACCTCCCAAATTCCTCTCAGTCTCCCCCAGAGTCACAACAGGTCAGTGGGGTGCCCCTCCCCCACCCCCCCACTTGGGCGCGGGGGTGGGGGAGGGGTGGACGATGTGGCCAATCAGGGCCGGACTTCGGACCCCCCTGGGCTGGGGGGGGAGGGGCAGGAGGGAGACCCACATTTTGGGGGGTTGGGGAGGTGCAGGACCCATACCGGGGGTTGTCTGTGGGGGTTGGTCCCACATCTGGGGGTGGAGGGGGTTGGATTTGGGGAGGGAGGGACATTTGTGGGGAGGGAACTCACAGCTGAGGGGACCCACATTTGGGGGTGGACCCACATTTGGGGGTCTTTATGAGGCAGGACCCACATTTGGTCCCCCCCCCAGGGCCCCAAAATACCCCACAGGACCCAAATAAACCCCCCAAATCCCTTCAGAACCCCAGAGTCCCCTGCAAGACCAATTCCAGGACCCCCAACCCCCTCCCAAATTCCCCTCCCCAACCCTCAGATCCCCCCCAGAACCTCCCCGGACTCCCCAGGACCCCAAAATCACCCCAAGGACCCAAATAACTCCCCAAGATCGTCCCAGTAACACCACCAGGAGCCCCATAACCTCCCAAAATCCTTCCAAAGACCCCAAAACCCTCCAGGAACTCCCTAGCACTCAATAACCCCCCAAAATCCCCTCCCCAATCCCCCAATATCCCCCCAAACCCCTCTCCCAGGACCCCAATAGCCTCCCAAAATCGCCCCAGGATCTCCCCAAAATCCCTGGAAAGACCCCAAAACTCCTCCTTCCAGGGCCCCTGTAGCAGCCCAAGGACCTTCCCAACATCCCAATAAACCTCCCCAAAATCCCCCGGACACAAATAACCTCCCCAAATGTCCCCAGGCCCCCTCCCCTACCCCCCAAATCCCTCCAAGGATCCCAAAACCCTCCAGGAACTCTCTAGCACTCCATAACCCCCCACCCCCGCCAAAAACCAACTTCCCCTAAAACCCCTCCAACGACTCCAACAACCCTCTAAATCACCCCCCTCCGCCCCGTGATTCTCCAGCTGCCCCTCAAAGGCCCCCAAAATTTTCCACCCGGCCCCAAATCCCAATAAACCCCTCCCTCTCCCCAGGATCCCCCTCCACGATGACCTGCAGGCCCCCCGCCCTGCACTGGGACCCCCGCCGCCCCACCGCCTCGCGTGCCTCGCCGCGCGTGGCTGGACGAGGACGCGCCCTGGCCCGACCCCACCCTGGGGGTCGCGGGGGACGCCCCGACCCGCGCCCACCTCCTCAGCAAGGGCGGGGGGGGCGTCCTTGCGGGGACCCCCTTCGCCCAGGCGGTTTTGGGGGTGTCGGGGTGCCGCGTCACCTGGAGGGTCCCCGAGGGGGCTCGCTGCCCCGGGCGGGCGGTGGTGGCCGAGGTGGAGGGTCCCGCGGGGGGTGCTGGTTGGGGAGAGGGTGGCCCTCAACGTTTTGGGGCGCTGCAGCGGGGTGGCCTCGATGGCCGCCAGGGCCGTGGGGGTGGCCCGCGGTCACGGGTGGGGCGGGGTCGTGGCGGGCACCCGAAAAACCACTCCGGGCTTCCGAGTGGCGGAGAAATACGCGCTGGGCGTGGGGGGTGCCGACCCCCACCGCGGGGGGCTGGGGGGGGGGCTGCTCCTGCTCAAGGACAATCACCGAGCGCTGGCGGCGGCGGCGGGGGGACTCCAGAAGGTGGGCACCCCCAAAATTTTGGTGGGGGGGGTAAGGGGTCGAGGGACCCTTGAGTTGGAGGCGGGTGGTTCGGGGAGAGGTGCCAAAGTCTGGGGGAGAGAGAGGACGGGGCGACTCTGATGTGGCGGGGAGAGATCCATAAACTGGGGGGTCTGGATAACGGCACCCCGAAATTTTAGGGGAGGGGCATCGGTATATTCGGGGGGGGAAGAAGGGGTTGGAGCAGGTGGGCGCCCTGAAATTTTGTGGGAAAGGGCACCCGTATTTGGGGGGAGGGGCTCGATTTGGGGTAGAAGGTGGGCGGGGCACCCCAGATTCGGGGGGAGGGGGGAAAAGTGGATTTGGACGGGTGACCCCTAAATCGGGGGTTCTGGGGGAGGGCCCCCGAATTTGGTAGGGACACACCGATTGGGGGACAGTGGGTGGAGGGCAGACAGAAGGACTCCTGGACTGGGTGGGTGAAACCCAATATTTGGGGGGGAGGAGCCCAGTTTGGGGAGGAAATGGGGGGACCCCTGAATTGAGGGGTTCTGGGTGGGAGGAAAGACAACCTCGGTTTTTGGGGGTGTTGGATAGGGGGACTCCTGAACTGGACGGGTGGGGGCCCGATTTTGGGGGTAATAACTTGGGGGACCCCAAATTTCGGGGATGGTGGGGGAACACTGATATTGGGAGGAGGAGACCCAATATTTGAGAGGGGCCCTGAACTGGGGGAGGGGGGATTAGAGGGTTCTGTGTGAGGGGTGATGTGGGGGGACCCCTGGATTGGGGGATGAGTGGGGGAACCTCAGTTTGGGAGGGAAATGGGGGTCACACCTGGGCTGGGAGATCCTAAATTCGGAGGACGATAGGTGGGGGTGGGGGAACCCTAATTTTGGGGGGGAAACGGGAGACACCCTTGAACTGGGGGATTTGGGAGGCGAGGACCCCAATTTGGGGGATCACTGCGGATGGGGGGTCAATGGGAGAGACCCCAGTTTTGAGTGTAGGGGGGACCCCATTTGGGGGGTTCTGGGTGGGGCACCCCCTGTTTTACCCCCCCCTCACCTCATATTGGGGTTTGGGGGGGTCCCTCTGGGATTCCTCCCCCTCACCCTTTCTCCCCCCCGCCCCCAGATGGTTTTGGGGGTGCGCCGGGCTGGGGCTTCACCCGCCGGGTGGGGGTCGAGTGCTCCAGCGCGGCCGAGGCGCTGGAGGCCGCGGGGGCGGGGGCTGACATCGTCCTGCTCGACAACCTCCCCCCCGAGGTGAGCCCCCAAAATCTGGGGGGGCAGCCCCAGGCGTGGGGCTGGACCCCCAAAAAGGGGGAAACCCCTGTATGAATTGTGGGGCAGCCTCAGAGATAAGGAGGGGTGGGGGGGGAACCCCATTTTGAGGGTCGGTGGGTTGGGAAACCCCAATTTTGTGTGTCAGTGGGTGGATAACTCGTGGGTTCGGTTGGGGGGCCCCCAATTTGGGGTGTTTCTGAGTGGAAGGGACCCCAATTTTGGGGGTCAGTGGGTGGGTAGCTTGTGGATCGGGGGAGGGTTGGGGTGGGGAAACCACCAATTTTTTGGGGGGGGGTCCTCCTTGCATGCCCCCAGTTTTGGGGGTGGGGGGCTCCTCGCTGACGGGGTGCCCCCCGTGCCCCCCAGGAGCTGCACTCGGCGGCGGCGCAGGTCAAGGCTGCGCACCCCGGAGTGACGGTGGAGGCCAGCGGGGGAGTCGTTTTGGGGACCCTCCCCCAGTTTTTGGGGCCCCACATCGACGTGGTGTCCATGGGGTGCCTGACCCACAGCGCCCCCGCCCTGGACTTCGCGCTGCGGGTGCTGGAACCCTAAAATCCGTCCAGAGGGGAACGGAAAGCCACCCTGGGACCCCCCGAAATCCCCCCTTTGGGAGGGGCACCCTGAAATCCGACAGTGGGTCCTCCTAGCCACCAGGGGGCGCCAACGCCTGAGCACCCCCAACCCTCCCAATGTCCAGGGGACCCCAAAATCCATCCCGGGGCCTCCCAAAGCACCTGCTGGGACCCCCCATTTCCACCCTGGGGTCTCCCCTGCCCAGGGAGGACCCCAATACCCATCCTGGGGTCCTCCCAAACCCTTCCTCCCTCCCAGGGGTGACCCCAGGTCTCCCTCCCGGGGTCCCACCACCCCCCTTTTCTCTCTGTACCCCCAAATAAACCCCTCCCACACCTCCCCGCCCACGTGTGCCCGAAATTTTTGGGGGCGTTGCCCACCCCAGACCCCATCGCTGAGTGCAAAAACAGCCACTTCATACCAAAAAAAATGGGGAGGGGGGGAGACCCCTCCTCAAAAAGAGTGGAAGTTCTGCTGATTGGGGAATGGGATCCACCAATTTTCTGGAAATTGGCGCTCGGGGAACGAGTTGGAGTTCAGGACAACAGTTTGAGGGGTCCAGAGCCCAGTTTAAGGATCCCAAACCCCAGTGTGAGGGCCAAGATCCCAGTTTAAGCATCCCAAACCCCAGTCTGAGGTCCCCAGAGCCCAGTTTAAGGATCCCAAACCCCAGTTTGAGGGCCCTAGAGCCCAGTTTAAGGATCCCAAACTGGGACCAGCACCCATCTCATGAGTGTGATCTCTTATCCCAGGACCAGCACCCATCCCCCCGGCATTCCCATTTCCAACCACATTAACCCCTTCCCTTCGGCAGCTCGACCCTCTGGAGCCCTCCCCACAGCAGCTCATTCCTGCCCCGGGAATGTGACCTGTGGAGCAGAACCTGCCGTGCAGGGGACACAGGGTGGGTGTTTACCAGCTCTGAAGTCACATGTCCCCAGGGGGTCCTTGAAACGGGATTTAAAACAGGGACGTGAAAATCTTCGTTAAACATCAGAATAATGTGAAGTTACAAATTAACTTTTACTCAGCTGCAGGGGAGAAAAGTCACGGCATCATCAAGTTACTGAGGTTTGGAAAAGATCTCCAAGGTCATCGAGTCCAAGCTCTGACCAATCACCCCACTTGTCAACCAGACAAAAACACCGGGTGCTATGTGCAGTCGTTCCTTGGACACCTCCAGGGGTGGGGACTCCAAACCTCCCCGGGCAGCCCCTCCCGATGCCAGACCGCCCTTTCCATGGAGAAATTCCTCTCCACGTCCAGCTTGAATCTCCCCTGGCACAACTTGCAGCCGTTTCCCCTTGTCCTGTGCCTTGTTCCCTGGGAGCAGAGCCCGATCCCCCCCCGGCTCCCCCCTCCTGTCAGGGGGTTGCAGAGCCAGAAGGTCCCCTCCGAACCTCCTTTTCTCCAGGCTGAGCCCCCCAGTTTCCTCAGTAGCTCCTCACAGGACTCACTTCCAGCCCCTTCCCCAGCTCCGTTCCCGTCTCTGGACTCGCCGCTCCACCCACACCGAAAAGAAAAACCGGCCGCGGTCCGAACAAAGCCCGTGGGAGATCGCGATCGGCTGCTGTGAACCCGCACGGGGGTGTTCGGGGGGCAAGGATGTTCAGGAGAACACGGGGCTGTTTGGGGGGACAAAAAAAAAAAACAAGCCGGACACTACTGGAGCCGCCGTCGCGATGTCCGCGCTCAGCGCCAGCCGCGGAGGGGAGGTCGGGAGCCACAGGGCTCGACGGGGAGGACCGGGATCGGGCTGGGGCTGGGGGTCCCGTCTCGGGGGCGGCCTCGGAGCTGCTGCCCCCGCTGCCCCCCCCCAGGGGTCGGTGCCCGCTGCCCCCCGAGTGCTGCCGGTCCCGTTGGGAGCTGGGAACGTCCCTTAAGTTGGCATCCACCAGGCCCCCTCCCCTGGGGTAACTGCACGGGCACTTCCAGTTCTGCCCGTCATTCCCGAATTAGGGGAAAGGTGAAGAGCGCCGGCCCGGCCGTGTCCCTCCCGCTGTCCCTCCGGTACCACTCCAGTGTCCCCATGGCCACCTGCCCTAAGTGTCACGGTGACAGCGTGGGGGGAGCTCCGCCCACGAGCGGCGGGGGCTGCGGATCTCACAAGGGATGCTCCGAGATTTGGGGTTTGGCCCCCGGCAGCGGGGGAAGAGCGAGGGGGAAGGCACGAGGGGCTGAGCTCAGAGTACAGGGGAGGTGACAGAGCGGGCAGGTGCTCGCCCAGATCCCTACACGGAATCACAGACTGGTCTCGGTGGGGAGGGACCTTAAGAGACCACTCAGTTCCGCCAGTTCCTGCCACGGGCAGGGACACCTTCCACCAAACCAGATTGCTCCAAGCCCTGTCCGACCTGCCCGGGAACACTTGCAGGGATGGGGCACCTACAATAGCCTCTGTGTGTGTGACCTTTGGTCCTTTGTGCCTCCTCTGTGCCCCTCCTGCTGTGATCCCCCCCGTGTCGATTCCTCACCTCCACCTGTCTGGGGGTGTTGGTGTTTCCAGAGTCACCTCAGCAATGTCCTTGACCTTGCACAGCCCTCGGACAGGAGAATCACGAGGCTGAACGTCTCTAACACAAACCCGGCAGTTTCTCTCCACAGGGTGTCACCTTCGGCCTTGTTGGGAATTCAGGGCTTTTCCTGGTTTTCTCTAAACTTTTTGGTGGACAAGCTGCAATAGGACTGGATCACCCTTAAGGAAAAAAAGAAAAAAACCAATATCCACAGCTAATCCCAAAGGAAAACAAACCCCAAACACACAAAGCTTCCACAGTTACAGCTCCCTGTCTTTTTTTCTGTGTCACCTTCCTGTCAGTTAAAGCTCAAACAAGGTGTAAAAGGCTTGGGCGGGTTGAGGTTTGTCTGCAGGTTTCCCAGGATTTTTTGTTTTGTTTTCCTACCCTGTGGCATCGCTTTGGTAGAAAGCTCAGGCAAGAAGGGAAAACACCATTTTAAAGCACTTGTGGCTTGTGAAAACCCCATGGAAGAACCCAAAGGTTCCATCCCGGGGTGTTCCCTCATCCCTCACGCTCCTTTTCCCGCAGCAGCTGCTCCAGAACGTGGTACGGCAGGGCTGGAGGTCGAGATCCAGCAAACCTGCCCCAAATGTGCAGCCCAGCAAACCAGGGGCCGGGTTCAGCTTCGGTGAGTGTGGCAGGGCTGGAAGGGAGGTGTAATAAGTAGTAGTAGTAGTTAAATTTACTCATCAAATTAGTAATAGTGGCTTACTCATTAAACTGTAGTGCATGTTATATTCTTATATATATATGTCATTATAATCACTGTTCTGTTACGGGTAAGAAACTGTAAGTTGTAGAATGGTTCATTAATCTATCAGCATTGTAAGCTGAAAAAGCATGAAGTTTGCAGTTCTAAAGCTAGAAAGACAAACCATTGTGCCTTGTTAAGTAAATATTTTTATATCTTATTTTTCTAAAAAGCTTATTGTCTCACAACACGCATAAAGTAAAGGAAAGAAGGACAAGGATTGAAGAGTCAGGAACTGAAACAATACAGAATATCCAAGATGGACATCTGGAGATGCCTGCACGCCAGGCCTCAAGGTCTAGGGACTGATTGGAACTATGGGAGGAGAAAGCACCTGGCAACCAAAGCGAGAATGCAGAGAGGCCAACCAGAATCAGACCTGCAAAGCTCAGATCCAATAGAAAAACAACAAGTGACAATGGGAGGGAAACCGATAAGGGAATAAAAGTTACTGGTTTTGTTCACTGCGCTTGCGTGCCGTGAGTGGAGTGATGCCCAAAACAAGGCAGATAAAAAAACTGCTTAAAGGCAGAATTTTGAGCCCATAAACAGCAGGTATTTATTGAATGATTAACGACGCCGGGGTAGCTTCCAGCTCAGGCTGGACAAAAAGCTCCGAAGTGGTTCAGTAAAAACAAGCAATTTATACAGTTTCTAATCATGATTACAACATAATCACATGCATATTCATATTATTGCATCATTAGATTACAATATTCATAGCAGGTGGAGTCAGGGTGGAGATTGAGGCGTGGTCTCTATTTTGAGGAATATTATGGTGGGAGTTCCTGCCTGCCTTCATCCTGGGGTCTACATTTTACTCATCTTCCTCGGGTGACATCCGGGACCTTTTGTTCTCATGTCCTGATCATCCAGGTTTGAAGAAAACCTTGGCTCTAGGCCTACTTTACCTATTCAAATGTCTACCTTGGCTCCTCTGGATGAGATTTATGTGTGTTGAGTTCTTTGTCTAGTGTTTGTTGTGGTTCCTTTAAGGTCTAATGCTCTTAATAGAGAACATAGCCTTCTTGTAAAAGTACAGCTTACAGTAAACGAAATACAGGGGGTAAGGGGGGCTCTTGTGGGTTTACAGTAAAAGTGTTTCGATTAACCCTTCCTGCTTCATTCCCCCCTTTTCTTAGAACTTACGAACTCTTTCGTCAAGTTCCAGGGAAGTGTGAGTGTGTATTATTGCCCATAATATTTGGGTTCTTTTGACTATGGAGTGTAACCTATACCACAGCCATATATTTAAAAGGGATAATAAAAGCATGGTTATCACTGTAATTAACATTGGATCTATTAGGTAGTCGAAACTGTGGATGTCAAAGGGGATTGTCCTGTAAAGATATCCCACCAGTGATGCTGTCCTGTTTGTTCTAATTTAGTGTACAATGACTTTGGGGTTTAATCCAGTCCTGGTGTGTGCATGGTATGTTATTGTGTAGGATGTAAATGGCCATGCCTGGTCGAGGTGCTGTTTCACCCGAAAATATTGATGTGATAACTCGTGCATTTGACCATGGCCATTCCATGGTAGTGTTTTGTGTGGAGATTATACTTATCAAGAGTTCACAGAGTAATGCTGGGATTTGCCAGTCCATGGTAGGGGTTCCTTCAGGAATTCTCTTGGGGGTTCTCTGGAGCTTTCTTGACCCGAGAGTAGTGGATCCAAGCAGGTCGCTCCTTAATCCTTATTGCCGTGAAGG